TATTCCAAGTTCATACTCAGAGCAATAAGCATACTCATAACAACGCGCACGGGACTTGGAACAAAAGATCCCCCCCTGCCCACTCTGCATGAGGGAGGCTTTCACCCAGGAGTGCAGGCTAAGGCCACTTGGGAATGTGAAAGCTTGCTGCCCTACCTAGACACTGACACATGAAGGCCAGTATTTGGTACAGTCATAAAAAATGCAGGTTGCACAAAAAGAATAAAACAAACAGAGAAGCAAGGCTAGCAGTGCTATCAGCCATGCAGAATCACAGAACATCCCAAGCTGGAAGGGATGGAACCAAGAGGATCACTCAGTCCAACTCCTGACTCCCCGCAGGGCAACCAGAGAGCTGAACTGTATCATCACCATCATCTAAAGACTTTGCCTATCCATCCACCTTTTTATCATTTTTTTTAAAGTAATTAAACTACACAATCTGTTTAGCTTTTACCTTTCCTTCTATCGTGCTTTGTTTCTGACCTAGGGTTGTCCTGAGAATTTAGGAATGGCACCTATCTCCTGTCCAAAAAGGACTACATACATCCAGTGGTAAGAAGAAAGAAGGAAACGTCTTCAGAAGTGCCCACCTAACTTGGGCTCATGTTTTCCAGTTTGAATGAACTATTTCCCAGCCCCATCAGAAGTATAGGAACTTAACTGGCTAAGTCTGCTAGGCACATTTGAAATTTTTAACCTGAAAATCTACACACAGAGGTTTAAAACAACATGGATTGCTAGTCATCTAAAACTGAAACGGTGCTCACGCTTCCAAACCATGTGTTTTTGATAAGCCTCCTACTCTAAGGTGTTCCTTCAATATTTGCAGCTGCGCCCTGCTAAATAGGAAGCAAACAGTAACAGAACTTCTGAGACAACAACAAAAGTTAAATTCCGAAGATCACCATCTGCCTGCACCAGCAGAAACAACCAAACCTCGTTTACTACATCAGAATTTAAGGGCATGACTGCACCAACAATTAAATACGTGCTAAGGAGAGTTTCCCCAGCACACGTATTGGGAAGGGAAAGGGGTCTGTCTGCACACGGGCTCTAGGTGCTGGCCTGAACAAGGGACCAACGTGCCTCCTGAAAGTTGTGCCCGTGCCCCCGCCACGCAGCCTGCTCTGCCCGCGGTGCGAGGCCTGGGAGGCCGCAGGGCCCCGCTGACGTGCTCTGGCCGGGCACGCGGGGTCTCCTCACAGGAGGCTCTCGCACTTCAGCTCAAAGCGTTTTATTCAGGCTTTCAGCACAATTATCCGTCTGCAGCAAATAGCGCGGTCACCCCTATGCAGCTCTGGGGAAGGTGAGCTCACAGTTTGACCACGCTCACAAGCCCCAGACATCAGCTCACACAACTCCCAGATCTTTGTCCTAAGGGAAACACAACAGCATTAAGCCATTGAAAAGTAACTGAAGAGAACAGAAAGGATACAGCAGATAAAAAAGGCACTTGGAAGTAATTAACACCCTATGCAGTGCAGGCAGTGAAGTGACAGGTAGATTCAATTTGTGGCCACCAGGCTCCTTGAAAGGTCAATACGAAATCTTGCCAGTGCAACCGGAGGAAGCAAAGAAAGGAAGGAAAGGAAAAAAAGGGGAAAAAGGGGGGAGAAGGGAAATTAAAAAGGGGAATGGGGGGGCGGGAGAGACACACTGGCTCAAAGAAGCACTGACCCACAGGTAACCTGAACTCCTTCTGCTGTCAGCAAGAGTGGACTGTTATAAAAAACAGGAAATATTTCTACAGCAAGACAACCATTAAATGCTTAAGTAAATACAAATGCACCAAGAAAACAAATGCATTCATATTTATGAAATGCATGTGTTGGTCCAGTATTTGTAGACCTAAGAAATACTGCCAGACCCAGTACACTGCATTAACATTTTTAATGGGGGTGCTGAACTACTTGAGGAACGAAGCCAACCCAGCACGGTCCCTCTGTGCTGATGGCATGTTTATGCATGAGTTCCCAGGTCAGTGCTGCAATGGGTTATTCCTGGGTGTGGATGGATGGTGGGAGCAAACCAGCACATTATCGTAACTTGCTTCTGGCAGGCAGAAATCAGAAACCAGCAATTCTCCCCTCCTGGCACAAGTGTAGCCGATCAGCCACACCAGTGACCTGCACCAGACTATCCCACCCAGGTGAACCCACCTACCAAGGATGTTTTAAAACCAAGCCCTTCTGAAGCACAAACTGTGTTACTGCCACACAGCAGCACACAGGCTGCTTCAGACAAAGCAGGATCAGACTCATCGCAGGGCTGGTGTGGGCCGGGAGGGAGCGACCCCCCTGCTGCGGGCCAGAGCCGGGGCAGCTCCAGGAGGACTGCATGGCTGCGGCCACAGCAGATGCGGGCCAGCAGACAGCCCGGGCCAGCAGACAGCCCGGCGGTGCTCCCAGGGCTGCGGGCAGGTCCCGGAGGACCCCCGGCCCGGGACCAGCGGGAGCCCCACGAGCAAGGGGAGGCGCAGCCAAGCAGCACAGGGCGCTCAGACCCAGCTGCCTGGCCTGCCTGGGGCTTCTGCCCTGTTTGGTGAAGATTCATAGCACTGCGCTACTCTGGGGGCAAGTAAGGCTTGAATAAAGATAGGGGAAGTTTAATTAAACACATATCACCAGCTGAAAGTTGAGAACAACAACACAAAAAAGGACTAAAGGAACCAAAAGCTGTATTCCAGCCCAGCTTAGGCCGGCAGCTACCAACACCCAAGTCCTCGTCCATGGCTGGAATCAGTCGGGGTGACAGCAGAGATGCTCACCCCCAGCCGAGGCGGCACAGCCCCGCCCGCAGAACCAGCGTCTGACAGCTCCCATGCGCAGCTGGAAGGCTGAGCACACGGAGCACGGCACCGTCTGCTGCATCGTGCCTGCGCTGCATCAGCAGGGCTCCAGAAACCTGACCGGGCAGTCCCAGCCCCAACTCCACCAGCAACAAACCAGGAACATCACCAACAAAGTTCAGAGCAGTCTTTCCATTCCCCACCCTGCAGGGAACACGTCCAGATGAGCCCGTCTTTGTTGCTGCAGAAAGCGTGTTCCTCGGCGCGAGGCAGAAACTTGCTAGAGCACGGGCGTCCCCCCCTTTGGGCATGCCGAGCGATGAACAACGCACGCACTTCCCTTTCTCCAGCAGCATTAGCGAGGCGCAACCAGCAATTAGGAACAACCAGGAAATTATTTACTCTCACAGCACGGGATTTCGCAAATGACAGTGCTCCGGAGCGGCTTTATCACCGCCAGCCACGCCGAGGAGCGGGGCAGAGCAGAGCAGTGCCCGGGGCGCCCTGCCTCGGGGGGCAGCCGGGGCCAGCGCCGCGGGGCTGTGCGGGGCAGGCAGCAGCACCCCGGTACCGCGCAGCCCCGCTGCGGGTGGGCACCGCGAGCTGCGGGCTTCCCATTTCAGCGGGACGAGCGCTCCCGTAGCTGGCAGATGGCTGCTTCACCGCCTTCCCCGCCACCCTCCCCACCCGGCTCACGGCCCGCAGGCAGCCCCTGCCCCGAGGCCCCGCTGGAGCCGGGCACGTGCGGGCCGGTACCGGGGCGGCCGGGAGCGGGGCTCCTCCGCCGCGGCCCGGCAGGACCGGGAGCCCGGTAGGACCGGCTCCGCGCACAGGGGCTCGGCTCGGCGGGGCGGCTGCGGGACGGTCCCGGGCGCGCGCCCCAGGCAGGCGAAGCCCCGTGCCGGGCCGGGCCGTGCCGTGCGGCTCCGCCGGGCTGCCCGCGACAGCCGGGGCCGCCCCTCCCGCGGGCTCCGCACCTGCCGCCGCCGGGGCCGAGCCGTGCCGGGGATCGGCGGGCGCTAGGACCGCGGCGCGGCGGCCGGGAAGCGGCGCTGCGGCGGGCGCTGCCCCGTCCCGGTCCCCGTCCCGGTCCCCGTCCCGGTCCCGTCCCGAGCCGCCGGTACTCACGTCGTCAAAGAGGGAGCCGACGTTGGCCGTGACCAGGAGCACCCCGGCGCCGGCCGCGGCCCCCTTGGCCGCCATGGCGCCGGCGCTGGCGGCGGGCGGGCGGAAGCGCGGAGCGCGCCCGGTGTCGGCGGCGGCGCTGCGGGGAGCCCGGGGGCGGGCGCGGGGCGCTGCGGGGAGCGGGGCGCCGGGCCGGGCCCGCCCCGTCGGCGCGGCGCGGGCGGGCGGGGGGCGCGGGCGGCGGCGGCGGCGGCGAGTCCTGGCGGCGGGGGCAGCCCGCGGACATCCGCGCCGCCGCCGGGGGCCGGGCGCCCTGCGGCTGCTGCGGGGCTGCGGCGCTCAGCGCTCGCCCGCCGCCGCCGTCGCGCTGCTGCCGGGACGGCTCCCGCCGGCGGAGGCTGGCGCCGGGCCGCGGCGCATGGCGGGGGGCGGGGCGGCCGCGACGGGGCGGGCGGCGGGGCTGGGCCGGGCTGGGCCGCGCGGGGGGCGGCGGCGGGGCCGGGCCGGGCCGTGCCGGGCTGGGCGCTCCGCGCTGCTGCCGCCGCCGCTGCCGCCTGCGGGGCTGGGGCCGGGCGCCCGCGACGTCACCGCGGCCCCGCGCGGCTCTTAAAAGGGCAACGCCGGCACCGCCAGGCGCCCCCGGGAGGCGGCGCGGGGCAGCGCGGCACGGCCCGGCCCGGGGGGTCCCGCAGCCCCCGGCCAGGGCTGGGCAGCGGGGAGCAGGGAACCGCCGGGACGGAGCGCCCCCGGCAGCGCTGAGCAGCGGGGCACGGCCAGGAACCTGCTCCTGCCCCACGTGCTGCTCCCCAAAAAGGCCGTGACCCCCCCTCACCGCATCCCACCCGAGGGGCTGCACACAAACACAGCTCCAAACAGCGGGCAGATAAACGCCTCTCCTCATCAGCCTTCGGGTACGGCTCGTGCAAAGTTACGGCATGTTACACAGTAACTGGCAGAGCCTGCTCACGGTCAGTCAATGAGCCTCCCTGCTCTCGGCAGCCCAGCCCAGCCGTTCCTGCTGGCCACAAAGGATGGGGTCAGACACGACCAGAAAATAGCCAGTTTGCAAGCAGGGCAAGCAGGCAAAGAGGGAACTGGTACCCAACTGCTCCAGCTGACATCAGCAAAGGCACGAGGCTGCACGACTTCCTCAGCACTGAGGAAAATGAAAAAGAGCTAAATAAAGCCAGCCTCCAGTGCTGGGGGATTCTCCACATCATTATGGCAATCAAAGTTACCAGCCAAGGGCCAGGGAAAAACGCCCCAAACTCCTGACCATACAGGAGGAACCACGCTCCCCTAGAAAATATGGTCCATGAAATAAGGCATCAGAGGAAGGGATCCCAGCAACAATCCAAGCATAAAACGAGCTGACAGCACCCAGTCACACAGGACAGGTCTCAGGAGCGTGCCAGCCACGGCAGGCCCTGCCCCACGGGCGCTTCAGGAGCAGGGGCTGGGGTGAGCGGCACTGCTGGAGCTGTGGAGAACAGGGTGGGCAACCACCAAGGCAGCAGGGGTGTGAGCAGACACCTGTGTGAAAGCTGCTGCTTGGGAAAGGCAAGGCAGAACCCCTTGCAGCGTGCCACAGCGAACAGTCAGGTACTGTTGACCCAGGGAGGTGCCGACCTTGCCGTACCGTGGCGATGCTCATCACGTATCAGTTCTGTGCTACCAGCAGCTGGGGCAATGAGCACTGCTGAGCCTGCTCCAGGAGGTGGTCCTGTCCCCTGGCACTGGGCTGGGGAGCCCTGACAGGCGTCCCCTTTGTGGGAAAGGTTCTCAGGCAGGACATGCAGGTGGAATGACAAAGGGTCTAATAGATGATGCCTGCTGTGCCTCTTCGTTAGAAGATGCAAATGAAATACAACTAAATAAAAGCAAACTGCAGTTGTGGAAATCCACCTCTTACTTGCTGACATCCCGTGAGCTGGGACATACAGAGAAAAGCAATGCAGAACATGCTGGTGGCTGCAGATACTCAGCACTGCTGGACTGCTTATTGCTGCACAATTTACTTGAACATTTTGTACAACTCCCAAGACAACTGCTGTGTAAAGTTGTCCTGTAGACTCCATTGTTGTACCTGGATGCAGCCCTCAGAGGTATTAACGATGAGTTAATCAAGCATACCGTCCTGATACAGCATGGAGAGAGAGGGAGAGAGAAATTCAGTGTTGTGTTTAGCTCACAAGCCTTACACATTTCAGCCCACAGTGATTGCATCAAAGTCACGGTATGCTGGAGGAAGCTGTGTCAAATTACACCCAGCTGGAAAGGGATCCCAAGCCATATGGTATCCAGGTGAAAAGTCTGGCAGTGCTCAAGAACAGGAAACTGCAATAGGAAGTGTCTGTAGACCACAAGAAGTTACTTGGACAGGACACAGGCAGCGATTTCCAAACTGCAGTGCAGATACACTTTGCCCATTTATTTGGTAGAGGAAGCACTACAGCAAAAAAAAAGTGTCACAGCCACACAGAAGCAAAACAATGACCAACGTGGTGACTGAGATGTCTGCCTTCTTTCAAGGAAAGGACTGAATAAAACCTGCAAAAAACATGAACATAAAATAGAGCATCACATGTAAAGCATTTTCAGTAGAATTCCTGAGAGCCACGGCTCCCACTCGCAGATTAGGAGAGAAGCCTTTTCCAAAAGCAGGAAAAGATGACCACAAAGTGAGGCAAAATGACCTCCCAGGTACCTGCGGACAAACACAGGCCCAGCAGGAAATCCAGCATCCCCAAAGGAAAGCAAAGGCAACACAAAGCAAGTTGTGCCAAGCGCCCTGCCCGCCTTTTGCTGCGGGCTGACACTTTGAGATGGTTGCAGCAGCTCACCCGAGCAATTCAGGGAAGTGATTCAGCTGATGCTGAACCTCAAACTGCGCTGTTTTAGACAACAGACCCAACTGCAGCAGGTTTCTGCCATTTTCTCAGGGGTGAGAATCCATTCCTCCAGTCAAACACCACCAGGTACTGATGGAGGGTGCCCACTGCCGGCTGCTCTGCAGGGCAGGGGAGGAGCAGAGGGGACACAAACTGATTTTGCAAAGGTGAACTGAACAGAGCCGACGCTTGGTAAATTCAAATGAGAAAGCTCTGCCTGTGCTATGCAAAAAAGGAAATCCATGTCCAAGTATGAAAGTTTGACTGTGGCAATGGTAAAAGGATAATAGGTAAAAACACACTAAAGCCTGTATTATGTGACCTGTGGTGTGAATGTTAAACCAAAGCGTTGGTTATAGAGCCAATATTCCCCCCGCCCAGATATTAACAATAGATAACTTGAAAGAGGAGACGTAATAGTATAATGACAAGGAAATAGGGAAAAAAAAAAACAAAAAGCATGCATCTGTGCCTCCCGTTCAGAGCAGGAACCTCAACTGCCTCCAGCTGTATCCACACCAGCTCAGGCTCCCAGCTCCAGAGGGTCACAGCTCTGGCCCCTGGGTCAAGTCCAATTGGCTGAAGATGCAAATACAGGTCACATTATTTCTCTTTCTCTCCTGCGCAGAGGTAGAAAGACAGATTGGTGTTGGCTGCTGTTGTTATTAGAGGGAAAGTACCACCGCTAACTGATGTTAACTAACATTTCTGCAACAACTCCTAGTTTCCCGGTACTTGTAACCCAAACAGTGCAGTCTGAGTATTTTCAGTCTCGGTGCCTGTCTTGAATCTTAAGTTTGAGCGAGATGGCTCAAGAATCAGGTTAGCTTTTACTAAGTAGCCTTGCCACTCCAAGGAGAAAAAATGGTCCTGACGCCAAATGTTTCAAATTAGCCTGAAGGTCAGAGAAGTGCACAACATTACTGTCCCCATGAATTTTCATTTACACAGCTTGGAAAATAATATAACAACTTGCATATACACCACGGAAAAGTTCTCATGTAGGTTTTGGCTACTGCGTTTTGGACCTGAGTGGCAGTATTTTCACAGCTTTCCCTACTGAATAGGAAGTAGAAGATAACATAGGGTTACTTGGCACTATTCATTGGCACATTCATAGACAGAGTGGATGAAGTTGGCACCAAGAAGAGATGTGTTCTGCCTCAAGTCTACCTATACACCTTCTGAAAAGGACAATAACGGGCAGTGAGAGAAGAGCATCAGTTGCTGCCAGAAGGGAACAGCGGAGCCAGCACAGCCTACAGATGAGGCAGAGGGAAGATTTTACATTTTCAGATTCTGGAGGGGGGCGGAAGATAGATATGGCCTGTTGTGGAGGTTACTACTAGTGAAGATTTGGCTTAGAGCAAACTAGTTTTTTCCATGATAAATAAATGTTTCAACCTCCCCTAAAAGCTTTGGTCAGACCTGCTCCCCATGCAACAGAACTGAGAATAGTAAGAGAAAACAGATTTCATTCATTCTGTAGAAACAGACAAATAAAAGCCACATTTTGTTATTTTTGCAGCACTGTCTTATCCTGTTGCTCTCAGCATGGGTGTGTGAAAACCACATTGTCCATTTATAGTATAAAGTCATTATATTTAAAAACAAAACAAAGTTGTTTTAAACCACTTCTAGCTTGCTTGGCTTTTAAGCTGTTAGTTTGAATGATGCTGCTGGTAGCTAGATTTGCTTGCAGTCTATCATATAAAATTGGATCTCAGAAAGTCTCATTTCTCATTTTTTTCCTCCTTTGATCTCCTCTACCACACATCTCACCAACAGCTCGTTTTCCCTCCCTCCAGGGGCTGGCAGCTGCTGACCCAGCACGGGTGGCACGGCTCTCCCTGCTGCCCACCAGTTATGCAAGGACAGCGCCTGCTACCCTGACCCTGCAGCCGCCTCAGAAAAGCCCTCACGCCTCCTTTGGCCCTTGCAGCAGTTCTGAGTCTTCAGCTTCAGCTGGTTCTTTGACCACATCCCACTTGGGGCAGGAATAACGCAGCGTGTTCAGGAAAAGGTTGGCACTGGGAGGTGAGCACGGGTTAGACTTAGGGCATAGGGCAGGATTAAACTAGGCTGTCAGCCTGTGCTGTGCTCCATGATGCTGACCCACCACAAGGCAATGCCCCAAGTTGGGCTCTGTGCTGATCTGCAGCTGGGAAGTGCTCACAAGTTTAATTTAGATTTCGTTTCAGCTAGGCTTTAGGGCTGGAGACAGGAGATTCAACACACTCAACCTTAATGATGCAATGTGTACTTAATTTTGTTCATGATTATGGATTCCTGAAACTTTGATATGTTCTCCTTTCAAAGCTATATGTAAGATATTAATTACAGCAGCATGCTTGAAAAACAAAAGATATTGGTTAAAAAAAAAAATTGTGACTGTATCTCTGACCTGAATAAAATAATGCATCATAACAGGCATTTTTTAATTTTTTTTAAACAGATGCTGCTTGTCATTGGTACTATGTCACTGTGTCCCCTCTCCATAAGATGAGACACCTAATTCTCTGAATGTTTCCCCAGGAGCAAGCAGAGCTGTTGCTGATGAAATTCCCTTGGTGGTGCAGCCATGCAGAGGGCAGCACGTGGAGCTGGCCTACTGGAAAGGGCACGTGCCGATCGTGCAGGGATAACGGAGGAAGCACTCATAAGCCAGCTGTGCAATTCCTCTATAATCATGTTTCACCTGTTTTTGTTGCTGGCTTTATGGCTTTACTAATTGACTTTTTTTTTTTATTAAAGCAATCTTTAAGAAGAGCAGTTTTTTTTTGTTTTTTTTTATAATGGCAGGAAAAACAAATAACACACAAAATAAATTATATCAGATTAAAACCCTTAAAAGCAATGTAGTATTTTGCTGCCCGAGAGCTCTTTTATAACCCTGAGGGACAGACTCTGTTCTCTGAGATTGACCTTAGTGGATTTTGTGAGCCTATCCCAGCATTTGATTGAATGACCCATGTTGTGCTTTCTAGACTGCACAAAACATCTTGAAGGAAGCTCTCAGAGTTGTTGCTGTCTTTTCTTAGTTTACTTTGGAAGTGTGGAATGGTTCCATGAGTGGCTGCTGCCTGAATTTTTTGTGGTCCTGAAACTATGGGAACAAGAGTTTGAAAACCCCAAATCTGATACACGGTACTTTAGACTACACATTGCTAGTTTCTAATGAGAGGGTATCAAACTGAGTTTGGTAGATTTCAGAATGCTGTCCTAGATACACACCCTTAATTTTTAACTCATCTGAAATTCTTCTGAACTACTTCTGAACCAGAGTACAGCTCCAGTTATATCTATTAAAGGGAATCTATTGGTATCCATTATTGGATACAAACTCTATCTAGCTGCTGTGGTAAATGCCCAGAACAGTTATCTAAGAAGCAGAGGAGCTAAAGTGTCTGAAACAAGCACCGATGAGCACCTCTCATTGCTACTACCTAGGTTACAGAGCAGGAAATAAGCTTTCCAAGTGTGAGTGCCAGTTTCTCAGCATCTTCACTTGCATCACTTCATCTCGTATTGATTTACACCATGTGGACTCAGACTCTTTGTAAAGAAGCCTCCAAGATTCAAAATCTAAATTTCAAAATTTGAAGGTCAGTCATAAATATTCTTAGATTATTTGTGGCTTCAAATACATACCTTGGACCATAACAATTGCCAGTTTTGCAGGAAGACAGTTTTAAATTGCTTGAAGCCCTTCAGGGGAAAACTTCACAATAATCAAGATGACTTTTTCTAACCAATTTTTTAATATCTTGGATGCTTAGCTATGAACACGATAACAACTGCAAGGGCATCACAAGGGCTGGGGGCTCCCCTACTCCTCAGACTGCTGGCAGGGCAGAGCCTGGTGCCCAGGGGCCATCCCACCACCCCAGCCAGGGCTCTGGGGACATCAAGGACAGCCCAGCTCAGGGGGCCCACAGCCTGGCACAGCAGCATTGTGGTGGGGCTGGAGCCCAGCAGCCCAGGCTGGCTGAAATCAGGTCTGTGACCAAGGGCAGGCCATAGGGCTGGTCAGGGACCTTAGGGCTTGTTATTGCCCCCAAGGCCCAAACAAATCTCATGTGCCTCAGAGACTTGCTGCACACTCCTCAAACCACTTCATTGCTCCTACATACATAAGTACTGTCTCTACTGGAAGCTAGGGCTGGAGAGGGAGTAAATCTTGCAAGCAGGCACGTTAATGCAATTCATAATTATTTCCAAGTGAGCAAGCAGAGAACAGCCATATCATTAATCCTGAAAATTGCAACAGAACAGAGAAAAACACTCTGACCCCCTTAATAGAAGCAAAGGGGAAACCGTAAGTATAGGTAAGAAAACATTACTTGCATTATACTTGGTAAGAGTCACATTGGCCCTGGAACTATCATTGATATTAACGGTGTAGTGGGGTGTTAAAGCTGACACAACATCAATGACTGGGATAACTCTCCACACACTGCATGGCATTTTAATGATATCAGAACATTAAGACGTACCTTAGCTTCTGTATTCTTGCAATGTTCAAATTCTTGCATATCTAAAAATATCTTCAGAGCTGCTTGGATTTCACCTTTCTGGTGAGCAATGACCCCTTACAAGGTGGGCAGTTCTGGATTAGTTGTGGGGCCTAAATGTGTTTCAGCAGCCCTGAGGACCGCCCTGTGAGCCACATGGATTTTGTATCTGAGGGAGCAGCTCCTGTCCTAACATTCCCACACCTGGGCTACATTTTACATTTAAAGCATTTTGCTGTGATTCTGTACAGCTGCAGCCAATCAGTTTTAGCACTGAAATTACAGTTGATAAACATTCAAGCTGTTAATAGCTCAGCAAATATGTGCCATGTGTTCTGGCTCTGGAAGATGGCACAGACGAGTGACGTGCTCTCTGAGCTTCCCTGGGTTGGGGCAGGGCCTGCTGCAGGCAGGTGCAGCACCTTTGTAGAGCTGTGCCTAGTCAGTAACCGCTTAGCCAGGTCTGCATTAAATCACATGCAGGTGTTACAATCAGATTTCTTAAGGTTAATGAGCCAAGCATGCTAGCTCTGATGAGCTGGAGGTCAGGCTGCCTGCTGTGGTGTTGTCCCTGGGCTCTGCTCATCCAGGCTGCCCAGCTCTGCCCTGCAACAGCTCTTGGCTAGGAGGGGGGCCTGGTCTGCCTCTTCCAGCAACCCCCTCAGTGATGGCAGGGTGTTAAAGCAATGGATGGGTACATGCATGCAGGCTGCTTCCAGGGTTGTTCTTGAGGGATGTCAGGGCTGTAAGGCATCTGTAAGCTACAAGTAACGTGAAACTGATCTGAGGCTGAGGCAAGTGGATTTTGGCACGAGCTTGTTGCCTGGGATCAATTTCCCCCAGTGTCACACTCCACGTGAGGCAGGGGCACCCCGTGGGACTTGTGGCCCCGCTGCTATCCCAGGCCTCAGTGCTGAAAGCACGGCTCGGTGCGGTGCCTTCCTCTGCTCCTCACCAAATCCGGGCTCTCCCAAGGGCTGCCGTGGTCCCAGGGGCTCTGCACAGCGGCAGCCCCGATGCCAGCGAGCTGCAGCACGAGCCTTGCCCAGTGGTGAAGGCAGCAGCAGGAGCTTTTCGGAGGGTCACTGCAGTGCTGCTGGTCACGCTGCAATCACATCTCTCATTTCTCCCTTTCAGACTGATGGAGCTGTGTAGCAGCACTGGCATTACTGTACGCTTCCATAGCCCAAGCAGCTGAAGGTGACAGAGGGCAGCTCACGTGCAGTTAGGTTGTGTCTGTGACCAAAGAGGAGGATGTCTGTGCCCCAGCTGTTACAGCCCTCACAACCGTTGCAGTCCTCCAAACTAATCATTTCTGCCCACTTGTGAATCACAGCCCATTGGAAATAATTACTGAGTCTTACTTTTGATACTGAAGCAGGCAACTCTAGACTTGGACAGACCATAAACTATTTGCTATAATGTTTACAGACACAGTTTCTTTTATTTAAAATTCTGTTATGTTGCTATTTGCTCAGAGGTCTTCCATCTGTGACACAGATGTAAAGATTCTTTGTATTTCCTGGCATGGACTTCCTTATCCCAACGAGCACTAAATCCAGTGACACTCTGTGCTGTGCACTGAAAAAAAAAAAAAAAAAAAAAAAAAAAAGAAACACCTCAAGAAACAAATAAATGAAAAGCTATTACAGAACTTGTTATTCCAAGAAAAAAAATAAATCCAGATACACAGTTATGTTTTCCAACATGTCTGCAATTGATTTTAATGTTGATGTTCTCATGTTCTTGTAGCAAGGTGGATTTACATCATCACAGAAAAGGCAGTGCACATTTACGCAAGTAACAGGATATAATTTAATTTATGCTAGGCATACAGATGTAGGAGTAAATCAGAACAGAGAAGACATCATGGGCTAGTATCTTCAGTGAGATTCTATTTCTTTCAGCTGTTCAAGAGCTGCAGAAGTAAGTTCATAGAAAACTATTTCCTTCCAGTAGGCCTCTGTAAGCACTTGCTTTTATATTTTCTTTATGCCTTATGTCCATTCTGAAAGGAAAGAAGCTCAGGGCAGTATGTTGGGGAATTCACTGTTATGAAGTGAAGGTATAATTAGTTTTGTCTCTCCAGAAGAAAGGTGGAGATTGCAGCTGCTCTGTAGGTGAAACCCTTATTACCTTTTCTGCTGCCATTCTCCTATAAGCTAAAGCTCTTTCTTTCACTCCACTGCTCCTCTTGCAGCTAGGTTAATGTGATGCTCTAAGGCCAGTGAAGAGCTCGCTCAGCTGCAGACAGTAGTACAACAGCTGATCAAAGTGCAAATAGCAAAGTTTTCACCTTTGCTGTTACCCTGAGCAGCAATATCAGCATTTGTTAATGTGCAGTTACAAAGTTCACAGTTAATCTAGAATAGGACTGGTGTGCAAGGAAATAAAATCTGGTAGCATATAAATCTGCTCCTTTAACCACAAAGAGCTGCAGTGTTTTCTCCTGCAACACGTGTGTGTTATTTCAAGATTCCAGTGCCCTGCATAAAATATAACTGAATACTCTATTTATGAGAAGCAGAATATATACCCCAGGAAAACGGTAATATAAAAAAGAGACTTCAGTTTTTCAATTCGCACTTATCCCTATAACCCCATTTGTTGTGGTCTCACTTGCAGAGAAGCCCGCAGAGCATGTGATGGTTGTTCTTAGTCCACTTCTGGCACCCAAATTACACCCACCATTGACACTTGTTGGAACTTTTCTTGGGAATGCCAGTAGTGAAGGCAGGTGGAATGGTTTGGAGAGCTCCTGCATGTCTGAATTAATTCTGTCCTTAGCAGGATGCTGTTCTGGCAGCAGCTTAGGATGTTGACCAAGTGACTCCCTTTTGTCCAACCTATTTCAGATTCACAAAATCATTTGAGAATGTATAGAAAATAACTATCTTAGTTTAAAAAGATTCATTATTAGCATCAGTTGGTTTATGTGGGATTGAAAAATGGATGTCAACATTGTGTAAGAAAAAACTTTATTAATAATCAAAATATATACATTGCAAAATAAATCAGAATAATTAAAAAAAAAAAAAGAAAAATAAAACATTAAAAAAAAAGAGCACGTAATTATTGACCACATTTTATTTCATGGTATTTAGTTTCTGTTTATCACACTGTGTTAAAAGTTCCAGCCTCTTCAACAGACATGTTCCATGTGCCAGGCTCCACCACATGTAGCTGTTTTAAGTTTGGTCCATTTAAAATAGAACAGCTGTGGCACTGCAAAAATTAAAAGCATTTCCATTTCCAGGTGTGGTATGAGCCAGCAGGCTTGAAAAGTCCCTAGTGGACATGGCCAGTTTAAATGCCACATGTAAAATGGTGCAAGGAAATCTACAGTAGTGCAGGGAGGTTTACATCACAAAGATCTTCCTTCTTTATTATGTCAGCCTGCAGGAAAAAAAAAAAACAAAACCACATTTTTAACAAGGAAAAATCTCAGCTAGCAATCTTCCTTATTCACTGCAAATAGAAAATATTTCATTTGCAGAGAAATGCATTCTTCTTTGGCATAAAAAAGCAAGCAAGCAGACAAACAAACAAAAAACAAAACAAAAGGATACCAATTATCTATCTACTTATCTGTTTACTTGGGGGAAGTAAAGGAAGCTCAATGTGATGAGCACAGATTTTGTTTCATTTTGGCAATCAGTGAGTAGGACCAAGCATTTCTGACAGTTTCCTCCATGGCTCTATGCCATGCAGACTTCAGACTTTGATCAAAGAATTGGACTGGGGTTGTCTTCTGTGCCTGGAACAGTTCCAGTTTGTGGTGGCATTCTCAAGGATTGCTGACGTGAGTTTGCTGCTGTTGGCACAGCAATAAGTTGTATGAAACATGCCTTAGCAGATAATGAACATGTATATGTACTTTTGTGTGTATGTAACAGACAGACCAGAATAAGCAGCTAATAAGCCACAGGATCTCAGAGAGGTACTGCAATATCAGCTCCAATTAGATGACTTCTTTTAATTACACAAGGCTCTTTTAAAGGCCTTGTGCCAAAATTATCTTGAACAAGAAGGAAAGTGTATGATTGTTAGTTAGTTCCTGATAGTCATGTGTACATGAGCATCTTCACCTGCTTTTATTTGATATACGACAGGATTAACACCATCTCTTTCCCCCTCCGAATATATCCAAGATAAAGCAGTTGGACCATGCACTACCTCTCCTGTTACACACAGATATTTATGATGTTTACACGGTGACCACAATATGCGAAAGTCATTCTTCAGCCTAGACTTTTTGCAGAAAAGTTGTCAGAAAACAACTGCCATTCTATGTTTGTGGATATTTATTCATTGTGCCATGCGATTCACAACGTATTGAATCTGGTTGCACTGCTATGGAGTGGCACTGCACTAAGTGTCACTGCTGCATATCACTGACGAGGAAGCTGTGTTTAAACGCAAGCTTTCCAGCTTTCCTTGGTCACGTTACCACTGTCACTGTACTGAGGCATTCCAAAGCACAAGGGTGAGGTTCTGTAAGCTTGGGGACCAGCTAATGTGAGATAGAGGATAGGGCAAAGGAACAACGTTCTGCCATCTTTCAAAGGATCTTCCAGCAGAACATCAGCTGGTTGGCACTGTTAGGATTCCTGGTACACTGTATGAGCAGCCCGCAGTACGATCTGGGTCTGAACCGTGAGACGTAGCGGCAGTGATACGTCTGTTGCTGTATTTCTTGGAACCTGATTAAGGCCTTTAGACTGCTGACTAATAATGTCCTTCATTAAAGCTTACTTCTGCCATTATAGCGCCATTTCTTGCGTATAAGATATTCCACAAGTGTTCTTAGAGCAATATTAATGCTGTCATAAATTTCTATTGGGTTCTTAATCTCTACCAGACTTTGCAGTGTTACAGCACAAATTTCTAAATGAAACTTAATTGAATTCTTATAATAATTGAGGGGTAACCTTGCCTAGCAATTTTTAGTCATTTGTTCTTTTAGTGTTTATCATTCACTAAAGAAAGGTAGCAGAGAATTTTGTCCTTTTTAAACTTAAGACAATCTTAATACTATTACAGAAGTTACACCACCAAAAAATAAAAATAATTTTTAAATTGTTTCCAACATCTGCTTTTAATCTTTTTGCACAATTATATATGTATATATTCCATCTTCCAGCTCTCATATTTTTGTTTCTCTTATTTATTCTCTTCCTATAGTTCTTTCCCCTATGAGGATTTAGCTCTGGATAGATCCATCTGGTGTGCTATTTCAGCGTTAAAGGCCATCCAAATATTTACTTTCGTACAGCTAATAAACAGTCATACCTTGCAAGCACTTCTCGAGAAGCCCTGAAACACTGCATGAACTTTATGTGTCAGGATAGTTCATCTACAAGTGAAATGCAGCTATTCCTGGAGAAGAACGCAGTGACTGTTTATCATATGGTCTTGACCCTTTAAAAGCTGTGTCCGATAGGAAGACAGTGCCCCAGGAAATCACGAGAATCATTCCCAGCATTGTTCACACGCCGAGGCAGGAAGCTGCGTTCGGAACAACAGGAATTGGGAAAGGTTAGGCCTGTAGCATTGGAAAGCTGCAGCACCATTAATTTATTCAGTCTGAGTCTGACTTGCATCGTGATCTATCCCCATACTGCAGTGAACACCACAGCTGCCGTGCTGCTTTGGGGATACCCTCGGGGTTTCACCTTCTGCCTTCCTACCACGCCTGCTGGCACTCCAGTGTGCTGCCGGGGCCTCGCGGCAAGCCGGGAGGAGAGGCTGTGGGAGACGTCGGGCTCGTGGCGCCGTCACGCTGCGCCTTTGGTCCAGCGTGAAGAACACGAGTCAATGCCTCTGCGATGCTTTTCTGAACCACCGGGGCTTGCTTCACGCTTCCCAAGTCTGAACCTCCTCAGGCTGGAGAAAGCTAGCGAGGTCGCAGACGGATGCTCGGTGGCAGAGGAATACACCCCCTCAACCTGTTTCTCATGGACCAAATCTGCTTTTGTTCATCTGTGGCTTATCACTTACAGAGACTCAGAGGGGCAGGGACCTCCTTGCTGCTGCATGCAGCATCCTGGCTGTCAAATTCTCAGTCCTTAGGATAGGGAGGAAAACCTTGGAGCTTTTGTCTCCATCCTCTGTAAGGCAGCACATGAAACTAATGTTCACATCTCCAAAACATTTTGTTGATACAAAAATGGAAAAGTATTTAAAGACCATCACCAGCTCAGTGAAAGAGTAAGGACATGCAACTTTCCAAAGGCAAATATATTTACCTCGCTAGAATATCAGTACAGGAGCTAAATACGTTTTAGAAGTAGACAGAGAATTTGCAAGGAGCGAAGTGCTGCGGCGGTGATGAGGGAGCTTGGCAGGCACTTGCTGACAGCATCGGCAGGAGCTGTGTGCTCCCGCAGTGCCCTCTCTCCTGTAGAGCACAGAGGGCAGCTCAGACTTAATTTTCAGTCACTCTGTGGAGATCATTCAGAGGTAATTACTTCAATTTGGTTTATATCACTTGGTCTGCTGGTGATAATCTAGGTTTATTTTCTCATTGCTAAAGGTCAGTTTCTATTATATGGCTTTAGCGATGTATATGAAGGTGTGATATGAAAGCTTTTATAAATATACGGAACAGATTAGAGCAAGCAGGATATAAATAGCTAACTACTGATTACTCTTCTGCACACCTGCCTCCCAGAGTACCGCAACAATATTTGAGACAGTTCGTGAACGGCCATTTCCTCCGGCTCCGTTTTTAATACATAAACACGTGTGTACACACACACACACACACACACACTATTTACTTCATTACTGCAAAACCTCACTGCTCTACACAGGAAAACCACCAGTTGGGAACGATGAAACAGATTTCCAACCGTAGCAAAGGTCAGAAGTGAGAAATGCCACTTACCTGAAGGAGCCAAGAAGTATGTGGCTTTTGTTGTCCCTTCTCACAGGAAGTAAGCCAGTAAGTAGCATCTTGAAATATATTTCTTAAGTATTTATGAAAAACAAGGTACTTTCTGAAAGTTTACGTAAGTTTCTGTGGGTACTGCATAGCTTGCTTTTTTCTCTCTCTCTCATTTTTTATTTTTTTATTTTTTTATTTTTTTTTAAGAATAAGAAGAACATTGAGCACTTTCAACCAATTCTGCTGAAACAGCAGATGAAGACTGGTGTAAGAGGGGACACTAAGAAATACCAAGCTCTGGTATCAATCCTTCATGTTCATACAAAATGGTAACAAAACAAAAACAAAATACTAAACAAACAAAAAAGACCACAGCGTCAAGAGACAAGCATGGAGGAAAGCAGTAAGAGAAATCGTAGCTTGTTGAGCATGAAATGCTCATTGAATAGGAGAATGTAATTGCAAGACTGTTTTTGAAAAGTTGTATTTATTATATTTATGCCTTGGAAGACAAACATTTTCCTAAAAGCAAAGAAAAAAAAAGAACCCAAAACAAAATAGAAATCCACAGGGGGGCCGTGAGCATGTTGGCATGCTAAGAGAATTAACGTTTATCTTAAGCAATTTCATAATGAGCATAAAAATACCCTCATCACAGAAGGCCAGTGATTTTCAGCATGAAAACCATTACCCACCCTCTGGTCCTTTCACGTTTTTGGCCTGGGCTGGGGTCTCCCTGGTGGCCCCCCACCTCCACCTCCCATTACCCGCCGGCCCCCGGCCGCCCGCCAGGCGCTGGGGCAGCCCCGCGGCTGCAGCTTTCCAGGTCTCACCAGGAAACAACTCAGGCGGGGCCTTGCAAGGAAACAATTCATGCATAATTTATGCCACTTCATGTTTCTGAGAAGTTGATTTCTTTCAGATGGGGAATATAATGTAGTTTGGGTGAGTGTGCATGTGATGAGGCCAGCTCTGCTGTTTCCATGGGCTCCTGACCCTTCTGTGCCTGAGACGAACCTCCAGCTACACCTGATACCAGGTACTTTTCTTTTACTGTGCCTTTTTTTTTTTTTTCCTAGAAAAGTTTTTCCTCAAATAACCTCCTGAGGTTAAGCAAACCTCAAACACTGAGTTATAAACGAGTGATGGGATCTTGTGGTAGAGGACACAGCGGCAGGCTGTGCATCATCCTTGCGTGTTGAAATCATCCCAAAGGAGGCCAGATCCCAGGACGTGCTTCCCCACAGCTCTGCAGAAGACAAAGCTGGACAGAGCCACAAAGCCTTGGCCCATTACAGAAGTGGGTTGGCAAAGTGTGGGCTGTTCCTTACAAATCCGTCAGTCTCCATTCCACTGTGAGCTGTCCGTGAGGTCTTCCTGGTTGGTATCAAAATGTAAATGTGATGTGTCCTGACATAGTTCAAGGCAGGGACTCTCTTTAGGGTACACCCCACAGATTACACAGCCACTTGCATTAACACTCTTTTTGTGCCATGTCATGGGTCTGGGGTGGAGAAGGCTTTGAGGGACAGAATATTTTATAACTCAATCACACAAAGAGTATTAGTGTCAATATCATCTGAGCAAAATCTCTATTACCTAATCACCTAGCATTAAAAAAAAAAATAGATTAATATGGTGTCTGTTCTCACAGGACCATAGATATTTTTATGGGATATGGCATTATAATAAAAATTCCCCAGACTTCAGCTTAATCTAGAAAACTCATTAAATAGGTTCAATACACTATGGAATTCTATATAGAAATGTTATTGTTAAATGTGTACCATATTTCTCTCCCTTCTGTGCCCAAACATTTTTATTTTGTGGCGTATTTTACAGTGTAGTCATGAGCAACACAGAAAGACGGCTCAGAATTGATGCAGGCTTTAAAGACCATTGACCTCTGTGCATTACTGTGTGGGACGGTGGGAGCAAAGGGGTCAGAACTTATAAATTACTTCACCACTGGAGATGAGTTTAGCATGAAAAGAAAACCAGGACCGATATCCATATATGCTCATTACTGCCTAAGCGTAACTTGTGGAGGTTTCAGATTTCCAGCCAAAAATGTGTTGCAAAAGACAAACGGAACACTAACATCTCATGCCCTGCCTGTGAATCACCAACACTCGGGTAATCCCTGGTTTTGGAGCTGCCGAAATCATTGCAATAGTTGCTGTGCAGAAAAGGCCAAACAGAGCTTCCTCTGCATGCTGCTAATTACAGCCTTTGGCGCACCGAGGGGCTGTCTCCACGGGTGTTTTCTGCACTGGAGCAACCCCAGCACCTCCCCTCTTGGCCCACAGCAAAAAGAAGCTCACAGGCCCTCCTCCGCCTCGGAGGCACCGTGCCCAAAGCCCAGAGCCCGCACGCAGCTCAGACCTCCTCCTTCCCACGCATGCCCCACGTCACCGCCGCCCGTCCGGCAGCGCCTGCCCAGGGAGGAGAGTGCTGCCTGTCCCAGCCCTGCCTGCACGGGTGGCAGAGGGGAGGGAGGCGAGGGAAATCTCTTGGGAAAGCTCTCAACCCTTTGGTATCTCCAGATCTGTGCTACAGCAGCCAGTAGATGCGGTCTGTACCTAGGGCTTTGCCTGGCTGCCCAGCAGGTTGATGCAGGCGTTGCTCAGCAAGGCAAGTTGTGCCCGCCCAGTAGCCCCTTCTCCCAGGGCTGTTTCTCCTGGCTACTTCTGCCACAGACAAACTGATATCCACTGTTATACACAGGCCTGCTGCTCACCTTCACTGCAGCAATGTGACATACCTGAGCATGGGGCCATCAGCCCGCAGGAAACCTCAGCCAGAGCCGAGCCGTGCGGCACGTCCCACCTGGGTGGCAGGAGCGCGTCCCACCCTGCCAGCGCGCTCGGCTGCCTCCGGGGAGCTCCTGTCCAGCCACGCTCAGCATCTCCAGTCATCTCACAAGGCCCTCCACTACCTAGCGTCTACATATCCACCAGATTAACTCACATGAGGGAAGATCATGATCAGCAGCTGTGCTGCTCTGGCAAAATAGATTGTCTGTAGCATGTGCAAAGCTTTAAATTAAGAGCAGAAAGCATAATTTTGGGGGCCAGCTTGAGGCTCTTGAAGAAATTCCTACATGATCTAAGGCTCATCACAAATCTCATCATCCTTCTGCAGGAGGTGCATTTCTGAAGTGGCGTCTTGATCATTTTATATTGTTGTATCACATGTGGATGTTGAAATAGTGCACACAAGAAGAAAATGCTTCATAACATGCATTTTTCCACTAGAAAGCAAACAAAACGACAGCAGTTAATCTCTTCATTAACTGTAAGTTAAGCACTGGCAGGGAACCAGTCCTGAAACAACAGGGACCATAGTATCTTTAGAAGATGCTTTGATTTCTTGTTCTTAAAACTAGCGATGAAAACTTACTCCTTTTTCAGCAGTCCATCTTAAAGGCATTGCATATGGTGGGATTCAGCTAACCAGAGGTGTGCCTGTGTTGGGAATGTTTTCAAGCTGTTCCTCAAAGTACTGGAAATACTTAAATACCATACGAAGTACCAAGTTCAGCGTATGGAGGTTTTTACGGTTGTACCCAGCAGAATTCTTCTGTGGGAAAATAAAATTGTCCTGCAAGGCAACACACTTCTTTTCAAGCAATGCACAAAGCTAATAGCTTCAAAAATGCATTAGAATAAACTTTTAGTTTTGTTTTGCTTGCAGATAAACAACAGCGCATTGTATGAAGTGACTCCAGGACTCCTTCACTCTCCTTGGACACCACTCGTGTTTAAATACAAAATGTTTGGTTAACATGCCTCTGTACCACTAGTGAAAGTAAAACACATTCTTGCTGCAGGCTCCTCTTCCAGAGGAGCTGGTTCCCCGCTCCAAGGAGGGAGGAAGGGAGAGCAGCAAGCGCCTGGGGTGCAGCGAGAGGGATGGGAGAGAGAGGAGAAGAAAAGAGGGAGCTGAAAGGCCAAGGCTCCTCCTTCTGAACCAAGTAATGGAAAAACGATGTAAGAATTCCAGCGCCTGAATAAATATGTGCCCTCTGACCTTAATCCCCTAGGAACCAAAAACATCCAGAGTCAGATAAAAATAGTAAACCCTTTACATTGCTGAGGGAGAACAGCACTGCTTGCGGCTAATTAGCCAAATCCTGTTAATAGCAAGGGGGCTGGGCAGCCACTAGGAAGTGAGTGTTTGCCAGAAGGCTTAACCATGCACGTACCAGAGAGCGAAGGCATCGCAGGCGCTTGCAGACATTGAACCATGTGAAGCTGAGAAAGGGCACGGCAGCAGCGAGCCACGCTAGGAGAGGCGACCAGGAAGTTTCCCCGTGTGGGGAATCGAACCCATCTGTTTCTCTGTGTGACACACGCTTCAAAGGAGACCCACCAGAATGACTCATGGTTTACTGCTATTCTAGCTCCGAAAACTCCTCCCAGCAAGTTTACAGACCTCGCCTGCTTGCTAGCTTGTGCTGGAAACCTCAGCTTTGCAGTGGGATCTGTTGAAAATAAATAAATTACAGCAATCCTGACAGCAAATGTCAATGAACTGTTCAGGTTCACTTGTGTAATTTTATTTAAAGCACTATAGCTTAACAGTATGCTGAGGATAAACTATTTATTCAAGCCATAGCGGAGACAATAGATTGCTTCAAACAGCATTCTCAAATGTTTGCTCTAGTTCTGAGTGACTGTTTCCTTAGTCAGCATTGGTTTTCTTTATTGCTCCCTATTTGCAAACATTCACACCAGCTGGGTCTTGCACGGTGACTGTTCTGTTCACACGGTGCCCATGCAGGCATGTGCAGGTCAGCAGCTGTGCGCAGCCAGGAGTGCTCTGTATTGTGTCATTGCTGCAGAATACTTCAGCTTTCTCCAACCAAAGAGTAACTCGCACATCAGAGAGCAGCAAGGATACCAGCTGGTCTCATCAGCCCATGGAGCTCCGCAGCAGAGAATTCAGGAGCTGGCCCAAACCTGGAGCCTTCGTTTCCAATGGGACAGCTGGGGAGGGGCTGCCTCGCGGGCCGACCTTCACTCACCCACTGGTGTCCCAGCGGCAATGGCACTGCCCAGCTGTGGGTGCCACAGGCTGCATGCTGCTGGCGTCTGCACGGCGGGGCTGGGGCTGGGGCTGCCACGGAGTGCCCTCACCCAGGTGGGTGATGCCGGCTGGCCGCCGACCTCAGGTTGCTGCTGCGATGCGTTGGAGGCAGCTCCGTCCTTGCTGTTTATGGCAGCCTGAGGCAGATCAGAGTTTCTTGTGCTCCGACATCTTCATCTATCAAGCGTGATGCAGTGTTTTTTTCCATGGGCATTGCCCTCCAGCAGTTTGGGCTTGAATTTTAGCTGAAGTATTTACATATCAGTGCGCCAGGGTGAGAAATTACTTTGTGTCACAGATCTCACTTCTGGTGCATTTACATTGGGTTTCTGCAGAACCTCTGCCGACACTTGTTTCTGAAATGATCTGACAACCCATTACGGCAATTTGCTGCCATCACAGGAAAGGTTGCTGTGTTCAGTCTGCACTTTGGGAGGCTGGATGTGTTTACTTTCTGCAAAATCATACCAAATTTCACCTGGAGCTCCAAACCAGAGCTGTAATGGCACTGGCCTTGCTCCAGAGACTGCAGAAGGGAAACACTGCAGCTGGGAAGCGGAGGGCACCGTGCTGCAGCCCACGTCTGTAGTACCCGCCATGCTCAGCGGCACTTTTCAGCACATGCTGCTCAGAGACACTCTGAGATTTGGTGGCCCATACTCTGTTCTGGCTCTGCCGTGCCTCCCTCCTACTTCTCTTTTCCACTGTGAAGGAAGAGCACACCTTGAGCAGCAAGGAAAAGTCAGCCCTTGCCTCGCAGCTTGGTGTGTTAATGGCAGCACTGGAGCAGTCAGGCTCTGGTGACAGCTTCCCTCCTACAGGCTGGCCAGAGAAAACCAGAGCGGTTGTGGTGGCCTCAGTGCAGACCCCGACCGGCCAGCAGCAGGAGCCCTCAGGCAGTGCCACACCACCAGAGACCAGGCTTCTGAGCACTGCGCTGCTGCAGCCCCAGGATGCGCGCTCCTCCCTGGGTCTGGCACGGGCATGTTGCTGTCACTGGGCTCCACCAGTGAGCACACGGGAGGGACACTGGGCAGAGCGGGGAACCCCTGCGGGCTTGTCCCATCCCAGGTCAGAACCACATTTCCTTGCCAAAAATGATGGCCAGGGCAAGAGCTCTTCAGCCTGGCTCCCTCTCCAGCCTGCCCGGGGCGCTGCCGCAGGAGGTGGCCCCAGCTCTGCCCCTCGCTGCCCGGATCTCCTGCCCCTGGCTCCCAGGGCCACACGCAGCTGGGCACCTCGCTGCGTCCCCCCGGCTCTGCCTCTGCGCCCATCTGCTCTGCTCTTCTTGGCCTCTCCCTGCCTCCCACGCTTCAGTAACATCTGCTACCTGCCTCCCTCAGGGCACCCTCTGCAGATGGGTCTCCTTCCAGCTACTCCTTAATTAGCACCCAGATTAACCTCTTCTCTGCCACACCGGTCCTGCAGCATCTGCTCCGTGTCTCCCACGGAGTGGGGAAGCCTACCAGGCCCTGCAGGATAAGAGCACTCGTATGGGTACCAGCAAGCACCGTATCCCTTTGCAATTTAATTTTTGTGCTCCTTCAGCAGCTGAAGTAAACCCAGCCTGGATGTAGCAGCTGTATGTTCAGATTTAAGCTGGGCAGCATGAGAGCTGAGAACAGCTATCCCACACCAGCTCCTGGGCAGGGGTACAACACACACCAGGTACAGGCTTTGCATTGAAACTTTCTGTATAGATATATGGATAGAGAATGAGGGAACATGCCAAAGAGAAAACATCTCTTATTGAGTCTGAAATCTTCCAAAGAGTTAACTTTGTCTTCCTCCGTCTCTCATGCTCTGGAACATGTTTATATAGAGTAAGAACATTTTTCCTAGAAGCTGGCGTAGTAACTGGGAATCGCGTTGTCAGTGAGACGAGTCCTGGAGCAAAGTGGGTGATCCTTATTCATGCATACAATCTGGCCAAGAATATGCAATAAAAGCTAAATATAGTTGTTTGGTGAGGTGCAAGTGCAAAAGCAGCTGTCTGCCAACAGGATTTTCCACCTCAGACTACTTCAAATACTATAGCAGCAATAAAATTGACAACTATAAAACCTTGCAAATTGCTTTTAAATGTTTATTCATCCTCACTGGGAGAACTTTGCACAGCGCTTGCCTGCACAGCACCCTGAGAAGAAGCTGGGCAGCAGACTGGCTTGCTCTGACTTCCAACAGCTCCCGGGGCAGAGATGGAGACTGCCTGGGGGAGGCACAGGCAGGACCAGCAGCAGCAGCCACTGCTCTTCCCTGCCCTCTGTTCTGGGACATGAGAGCAGCAACTGGAGAGAACAGGGAATGGAGTAATTCAAGGTGCAGGTTATTTTCAAAGAGTATTTCTCCACTCCTGTTCCCTCTCAAGAAGCTATCAGAAGAGTTGTCTCAATGTAAGCTCATTTGCAGAGATGTATTTCAATTCCTGTGTGAAATATTATTGCTCACTGCCCTTCTTGTAGCTGAAATTGTGTTTTCATTTTAAAAGAAGCACCTGCAGTATTCTTCTTTTTCAGTAGCTGTCAAAAGATAGACAACCAGATGAAAAATATTCCCATAAGCCCATTTTTGCTTTGTCCAAGAAGCCTGTCAGATGAAAATTAATCTGACAATAATATTCAACACTTCACTTCACGTGCAAGATCTACGAGAAGCTATATTCATAGCCTAAGTGTTGGGCTAGTATCTATGGCATCAGCTTTATGCTTGGGATCGTTGTACCCAGGTGGTACAATGGAGAACTATGGCAATGGCTAAGGTCAGGACATGATTAAGTGCAAAGTTCCTCTTCCTGTATGGAGCTTTCCAAAGGGAAGTTGTTACAAGGACACAACTCCTAAATTGTGAAGACAGAAAATTAAGCTTAGCACCCTTGGCAACACTCAGAAGGGCTAGGTTTCCAGTCCTGCACAGCCAACGTGACCACACATGTCCCTGGCTAGGCGGTGTCACCATTTCTATGGGATTACGAGACGCTGCTGGCCCTGGCCCTGCATCAGGGATCCATCGGGAGTCGTTTGGCTTCCGAGAGCTCAGCACCCGCGGCACTGTGGTCCCATGCTTGGAACTGAAGCACAAGTGATGGAAGGGCATCTGCTGTGCTGGTTGGTTTGTTTGTTTCTCTGACAGGTGTGACTTCTTGGCCTCATTTTAACTAACTTCATTTTCTTCCTTCAGGGGTTGTTTGAAACCAAGGAAAAGAGGAGATGGAGACCACCCACTGGATCTCATTCTCCTCTTATGTAAGCCTGTTAAAAACAGTAATAGTCCCAGTAAAATGAATAGATTTGTATCAGTATAAAAACTGTGTGAGCAGCAAGAGAATTGGCTGCCTTGGGTATAAATTCATGAAAGTCATTTGAAAGCTCTCTGGGAGCATAATTAGAAACATGAAGTCCTGGGATGATGTCTTCCTTCCTTTTTAATCCAACACTACTTTTAAGAGCTGCTGTCAGCTTGAAAAGTGGTTATTAATACAGAAACAACTCCAGACAGTATGTGGAACAATACATCTTAGCAAGTTTCTCTGTAAACCTATAGTATTTGGGCTCTTTTTTTTTTTTTTTCTTTTTAATTTCCTGAGAATAATTGCTGGGAAAAGAAAAAAAAAGAAAAAAAAATAGTTTTTTAATCCTTCTCATGGTAATTGCATGCAAAGCAAAAGACAATTTTGCTTTTTCTGCAGCAATGGTAACTACAAGGTTTTCAGACAGAGGTATTCTTTTAAGTTCACACAATCCCTTTCAGCACTGGCTATAGTTAAGACTATACGAAAGAGCCTGACAAGAGCTTGTTCCCATCACATTATCTAGGGACAATAAATCAAGCACAGAGAGGAAACCTAAGTCATCCGAGACATTATTTACAGAGGCTTCTATGCCTCAATAAATAATATTTCCCTTTGGGAAGAGCAATAGGGAAGGAAGTACGAAAAGCAGATACTGGTCATGTGTTAAGTCACTGGAGGGTGCTCAGAGAGAAGAGTGATGGACATGCTGAAAGCCATTAGAAGATAGCTAGGATCAATATTTGTCCATGTCTGAATGCTGACTTTTCCTTCCCTTCCTGCTGCAAAGCTCTTACAGTGTTATGTAAGTGGACCTGATCTACTTTAGGTGCTGTCTCCAAGTGTAATACCCATCTTCTCTTTTTCCTATCCCAGAAACATTTATTTTGATGTTTCAGAGAAATTTTCTAAGTTAGAGAGAGAAAAAAAAAAAAAGAAAAAAAAAAGAAATCTTTTACTCTGAGGTTGCTCAGGACTCGAGATGGCACCTTTGGATTTTGGGCACCCAGTGCAGGATCAGAAATATCATGTTTGGGGACTTTATTATTCAGCAATGGTATGGGCAAAGTGTGACCAGATGTGTCCTGCAGCTGCCATGAACCATACAGCCACGTGTTCCCACTCCATCACACACTTAGTTACGACTTGAATCAAGTCTCAGTGGTCTGTGTGGTGAGCATAGGAGCTACAGCATCACCAGTTAACATCAACTCTTGGCTGCAGACTCTCAGGAATCTCAGTCACGGCCCACAGTCAGTAACCAATGTGTAAATCCTGCGTTATACCAGCCATAATAGACAATATACAATGGGGGAAAATACAAGATGAAAAGAGGGGAAATGTTTCAAAACACTGAAAGCAACTATCACTCATACCACGAAGAGCTACAAAAAGAAGTCTCTTCTGTAGCTTCTTCTGCCACACTGCATCTTCTCGGTGTGTTCGTTCACTCCAAATCTACGCGTGGATCCTTGCAGGTTCACAGACACAGGCAGTGTCTCTCCCTCCCTGGTGTGGCAGTCATGAGTAGCATGAAGTTTTTGGGGACAGGAGCGCTTCTTTTGGTCTCCTCAAGGACTGGTCTCCAAGAAATTAAAAACTAAAAAAGTGCCAAGTGCCAGTGCAGTCGGCCCCTTCATCCAGAACCGAGGGCAGCTGAGGGCAGCAGTGTCACCCCGTGTACTGGGGGAGTGAGAGCGGTTGTGGGGTTCAGCTGCCCAGCAGGGTAAAACCACCACACCCCGAGGCGCTCCCTGCCGCAGGATGTCCGTGGCCGTGGGGCCACCCCAGCGCCTGCTGGGCACAGCGGCACGGTGCGGCACCGCCAGAGGCATGCGGGCAGCGTGCTGGGGTGCTGGCAGCTCACCGCTGAGGCAACGAGGGCACAGCCTGGGAAGACAGCGGGAATTCATGCTGGGTTCCCTTGCCATGAAATCAGCCCCAGTGGCTCCCGGCCACAGCAGGGAGCACAGCAGGGAGCGGGCAGAGCAGAGCTGCACGCATCATGGTTTGCAGTGGTGGTCGCTTGAGCGGGTGAACCAGAGAATAAGGGCTTTAAAAACGAGTTTCATGTTTTCAAGTATTTGGTAATGCACAACGTGTCCCAGGGATGTGCAGCCAGCAGCGTCAGTGTCAAAGCTGAGCGGCTTTGCAGCCTCTCCCTGGGATGCACAGGAAATGTCAAGCTGTCCTTAGCTTGGAAACAAAAAGGTTACACTGAATTAGGAAATTAGCACTGAAGGAATGACTTTTCCCTCCCTCAGGCCCAACAAAATGCCAAGAGCCTTTCCAGCTTGCAGCACAAGGATGGGGGCTGGGGGCAGCTGGCTCCTGGGGGGCCGAGGGGCCCCGGGGTCTGGGTGCCGAGGAGCACAGGGCCGGCACACAGCCCCCCACCCGGCAGCCCCACCACCCCACAGCAAGCAGGAGCCGAGCACGGCTCCCCTGTGCTGTGCCTGGGAGCCGCCTGCCCCGGGGAGGAGCGGGTGGCAGCCCCGTGACCTGGTGGCGGTCCTCCAGCTGATAAATGGAGCAGCATAACTGAAGGAAACAGTTACTCAGTAAGGAAAGCCAAAGGAAATAGTTACTCATAACTTGGCAGCCGAGAAAGTGCCATCCAAGCCTTTGTTTCTCTGCAGAACCAGCCGTGGCTGTGCAAACGCCAGCTCCTTCGTCCCGGAGCTCCCTGCCCTGCAGAGCTTCAGCCTGGAGAGGGCCCGGGGCAGCTCCACGCCACTGCACAGCATCCAGGCTCAGGGCAGACTCTCACTGTGCTGTGAGCTGCGCTGATTTCAGCCTTAATATGATTTCTAGTAAGACAGAAATTAATGCCAGCCTCTAGTTACCTGGCAGGGGGATCTGGCATTTTGTTGTGAATCTGCCTGGCTTAGGACTAGCGTCAGACTGCACGCCACTGTAAAGCCAAACAAAACACCCTTTTGCAGCCATACTAACATACCACAGAGCTGGCTGATGTTGGGAAACAGGAACAGGATAACCTGTCCCAAAGTCAGGTTTCACTGGGTGAAAGCCCTTCCACAGCCATGCCCGTCACCCCACAGCAGAAGCTTTGTGACGAGGCACCGACCTCACAGCAGTTCATTGACACCGGCGGTGTTACTGGTCTTTAACACGGTCAGTTTTTAGTGCCAAATATTTGTAACTTCAGAAAAAAGATATTTTTAGTGATACTATGATTTTTTTGGCTTTTTCTATAATTGAGGTAAATTAAGTGTAATTGGAAGCATCTGTTCCTATTTTAGTGCCCACAGTGGCGTGGTATTCTGCGTCTCCTGGAAGACACTCTCTTTCTTCAACTCCCACTAGATCCAGCTAAAAATAGTTAATCTAAATCAAATTCTCTCAGGCAACAGTGCTCTTCAGCTCTCAGGATTTGCCCTTCCATGCTAAACAATAGCTCTCCAACTTCTTTCCCTGGAAGGGTGGGGGATGGATTCAGGGGCCCAGGAGGTGCAGCAGAGACCCCCACTCTGTGAGGCTTTGTCAGAGCCATGGGTGCTGCCACCCCACCCCACCCCACCCCGCTCCATCAGTGAACCTGGGACAATAAGGACAGGCGTGAGGGAAGGGCACATCTCCTGGCAGTGCTGCAGGGCCCCGTACCGCAGATATTGCTGTGCCTGGGGCACCACGCGAGAGAAAAGAGGGAAACTTGAGCAGAAGGGTTCGCGTAGGTGTTTTGGCACAAGTGCAGAAGGTTGTGTGAGTGGTTGCTTTGTAGGCAGAAAGCATTTATTGTGAGGTCAGTACGTTTACCAAATAATAGCATTTTAATAGGGAAATCTCTTTTCACGCCATTTTGACTTCTATTTACTCACAGAACCAGCAGCCCAAGCAGGGCCCGTGCCCCGACGCTCCAGCCCTGCCAGCAGCCTTTCCCCAGGCTGATCCTCAGCGTCCCTGCGACACACTTTGGAGCCGTGAGCTGTGTCCCTGCAGCCTCAGAACGGTTTCTGAAGGGTGTCTGTGGAAAAGCTCTGGCTGAACAGGGTTCAGAGTCAGGTCTAAAACCCGGTCCCTCAAACAATAGCTTATATAAATAGTATGCCACAGGAACATTTTCCTATGCTTACATTTGTTCCTATGTTTGGTGCTGTCCATTTACAAGCAAGTGCACGTTTCAGGAAAGGCTTTTCAGTTCTTAGTTAGTCCTCTGGTTCTCAACTTGATACTGAGCAATACACTCTGTGGCACAGCAAGATTCACTCCCTATTTTGTTTAAAAAATATCATACTAGAACCACCATCCTAACTTTAATATTATGGGTAATTTTGCTTGTGACATTTTTCTGAAAGGGGTTACAGCCCTCAGAGCATGGAGGTTTTAAACGGAAACTCTGCTAATTGACATGGTAATCAAGGGAGAAAA